CATAGAGACGCCACACGCACAACGCCACAGCTACATGATGCCATCCATCGCCACAACAACACCGATATCACCGCAGCGCCAAACAAGCTTATTCGTACCACTCACCAACACGCACAGACACATACGCAGAGACTATTTGAAAACATGGTACTCGTCGACGCGTCCCTGCGGCACAACTACCGTCTGTAGCGGAATGAACGGCCTTCCTGCCAGAAAGATACCCTCTGCCTCCGCCTGATTAAGGCGCCGTGAGGAGATGGACACAATCTCAAACAGTGGCACACCCGTCGTGAACTTGTACGCGAAGTGGTGAATGTTCGACTTGCCAGCGCCCATACGGCTCTCGGGGCTCTTCTTCACGACGGGGAATTCCTCATAGTCGGTGTGCATCGTTAGCGTGAAACCACCTCGCGGAAGCCGACGCAGGATTGCGAGGCGCGCATTTTCGAGCTGTGACTGCGTCACCATGCCGAAGTCCGCGGTGATGAGGCCCCACTGACCGCGGATGAGTGCGGCTTCGTTGTTGATGAAGCGTGGGTCGCCGTAGCGGCGGTACTGACGAATGGGCCGCCCGGTCTTCGGGTGGACGTAGTGGTACGCGCGGAGTGTGGTGCTACGCTGAAAGAGAAACACCATCTTCTTCTCTTCCTCCTACACTCTGACAATATGAATATGCGAGGAATAAGGAGAGATAGAGAACAGCAGTAGCAGTGACATAGACGCATCAAGATGAACCAACAGAAATGCTCTCAATGGAGGCTTCATATTATAAATATATATATATATATATATATACTACTGTGAGGATCTGGGGTGCAAGTGGTGCATCCCGCTATCGGATGAATCTAAGGGGTACGACTCGCCTTACTCCACGACCAAGTCGTGCAAATATCGCTGTTGCCGTTCCCCTTGTTGAGGCGGACGTTCGCACCATCATCGCTCTTGTCATGGCCAATCCCATTGGAGCCGCATTACGACGAGTCCCCCGTATGGCTCCCATTGCCACCTCCCCGCTAGAAGGGGTCGCCGGCACACCAGCAGCCGTCGCATTACTATTAGCAGAAGCAGCAACAGCTGCGTCACCTGAGAGAGTTGTCAGCCGACTGTAGCCGCGCAAGTGCTGACTCACCCACGGCGTTGACCACGCCACCCACTCAGGTGTGAGCGTCATGAAACCGCGGCTGAGGTCGCGCAGCACGCCCTCGGTGAGATGGCGTCCCTGCGCCCCTGGTGGCTTTCGGCTGCCACTATTATTGTTGCTACTGCTGCTTGTGCCATTCGGTGACTCCTCGTCTTCTCGTCGAGCAACGCAACGCACACCAATCTCCCGCCGCGGGAGCACGTGACCGCGGTGAATCTTGTAGCCCAGGCGGTGAATCAGCTGCTGCCAGTTCCACGCCTTGCGCGCGAGTTGGTACTCCAGGGACGCTTTCTCGCGGAAGAGGCTCTCCAGTCGTTCTTCAGGAACCCCGGCAATTCCTGTCACGGTGGACGAAGACGAAGACGAAACCGCCGACCTCGCAGAAGTAGCAACAGGAGCGGAAACAGCGGTGCCATTACCCACAATACCATTGCCAGCACCACCACCACCACCACCACCCGACAACGACTTGGGCTCCGCGATGGCTTGCGTCGTCAACGCCATGAGCTTAAACAGAGCACGTGCGGGGAGCCCTGATGGCGACGACCCCACACCTTCATTCGACTCTGCCAAGTCTGTCGACGCAAAAACACAGGACTCCTTTTCACCGTCCTTCAGGAGTGACAGCAGGCCGCGGTAAAGCTCTGTGCGCACACGCAGCGATTTCGTGATGCCAATGTGACGTCCCAAGTTTAGATTTTCCTCATAGGGGTCTTCGATGCACAACTCGTACCGCGTGGGGTGCCGCTTTGCACCCCCACTGCTGTTGCCACCACCACCACCACCACTACCGACTGTGGAAGACATGGGCGGCACAACATCTTCCACGTGCCACCCCAGCATTTTTTTTGTTGTGATGCCAGGGCGATTGAGTGAGACAACGTGGTGCTCCCAGTCAAACTCAAAAGAATAAAAGTAAAAGAACCCCACCAGCATCTCACCTGCCTCCTTGTAGAGCGTGTCAAGCTCAGCAGGAGTGAGGGCTGGGTCTATCATGGGTGTGTATGTGGGGTCAAGATCCGTGTAGTCCACCAATGATACGGGAATGTCGAGTGGGTCCACGTACGGTGCATGTTTCTTCTGTATAAGGTAGTATATCCACATGATATTAATAGCGTAGCTTGTGAAGTATCCATTGACAGAGTTATTCACCCCGCTTGTTTTACTCCAATCTTTCAGCACCACTGCCCCCGGTCGCGCACAGGGGTGGCTCAACAGATACTGTCGCAGCAGCTGCGAGTTACGAATGCCAAAGGCGCGAAAGCTGAGGTCAAAGTCGATGTTATACAGCTCTGGCCGGCATTCGTCGTGCATCGGCTGCACCTTGACGCGCAGTGTTGGCGTCACGAGCGCTGGGGTGCACATTGCCGCTCGTATTGCCGTCGTTGTGCTGTCGAGTGTCATTGATACGACGTCGCCGGTGCGGTTCCACCAGACTTGCTGGACACCAGCCGGCCCCACCGCATCACGCACGCTGCCCTCCAGCACCACGCGGTCCTCACGCGTGGCGGGTGCACTCAGAACGAAGCGTACGCTGCGTGCGACTACGTCCTCCGCGTCGCGTCGCGCCACGACGAGGATAGGCGACGATGCGTGGTGCTTAATGATCGGTACACGCGCGTGGCTGATCGGCTCGAGGTTGACGAAGGAAAAGCCAGCGCGGCGCAGCAGCTCCGTGATGGCGCGCACCGCGTTGCGCTCGAGCGGCG